ATTATTTAGAATTGTATTGAATAAAATGAAACAAACTAAATTTTTCTGTTAATAATAATGGAATTATAAAATAGATTTATATTTACATTCATATTTTTTAATAACGCAAGCTGTTGTTATTGTTTTCCTTTTGTTTATTTGTGCCATTGAAAGTAAAAGAAGTGACAGATTGATGAGTTCAAATTACTGTACGCTGCTTACACATTAAATTATCAGTTTAGTGTCAGTAAAATTTACGAGGAAATTGTTTTATTTTTTTATCTTCTGCTCCCATGTGAATCCTGTACTAGAGATTAGTACTCGTAAACTATAAACTATCTTCCAAAAGCGACGTAAACAAAAACTGAATCTCAAATGCAAATACTTCAACGCTATCAAACAACAGAATCCAACGTAAAAAGCCAACAGGAAAACAAATAGCGCAGTTTGTTACAGGCAATCAGTTACTTTGTACCGGGGCCAGTGGTCTGCAACCGCGCAAATAGGGGCATAAATGTGAATGGATGTTAACGTGTTTTTTACGACGGCTCCACGGACGTATCGTTTTGTTTGCGTCCGATATCTTTATTCCGATCCACCCCACATGGAATTAATTTTTTGCCCTTACACTATTTTTCCTCATATTAAGGATAAATGATTCACAGTGATTTCCTTTATTCTTGTAAAGATTGCGACTCAGTTTTATATTTTTTTGTTACATGAAAAATAAAAAGAATTCTAGATCTTTTATATATCATAATTGATTTTAATCAAGTTATTAGTTTAAATATATCGTCTTTTTTATACCTTTATTATTCTTGAAAAAAATATTTTAATAATACCGATACGAGTGAATCATTTTTTGGAAATAGTTGAAAATTTCATCTCTCAAACCAAAACATAAATTTTTCCCTACTTGTGTTTCTTATTAAGTTTCCTGTTTTTGTGCAAAACAAAGAAGTCGTCACCGACAAATAGGATCATACTAGATTGACAAAGGTAATTTATTTATAGGATTTATTGTCGTGTAGGGGAGGAAGAGCCAACATTGACTCTGTGTCGAAGTGTTTGCTTTGGGACCGACGTGTTCTTTTTGGGATGACTTTTTCAATACTCTCGATTCAGGATCGGTAATCGATATATTTAGATTTCTTATCTTAGTATTTTTACACGATTTTCATTAATTTCATGTCATGGTCTTTGTATAATTAGACGGCCTTTGAAGAATTTCGATTTTACTACATATTTTGGAAGATAAATTCATTTATCGCTATTTTTAAGACAAACTAGTCCAAGTTTACATATCGGAAATTGTTATATAAATCGTGAAAATGAACTTTGTCTAAGTAAAAATATTACGGATAAATGTCTAAAGCAATAAAGTAATAATTACACCAGTCGAGTACCGATGTATAAAGGCTTAACTTATTGAAACATGTGATCCATACATCAAAGGATGTGAAAGATGATCAAAGCATAGCAGGGAACAATTATTCGGTTTGCTGATGATAAATTGACTCCATAACATGAACCAGAGCACTTTTTGTCTACCATGAGAGTGATGAGCCCTGAGGCAGTGTCTACAATATGGAAAGGGCTTTTTATAGATCCCTAAAAATATATTCAGCAGACATTCTAGAACTTTACAATTATATTTACATTTCATATGTAGAATTCTAGTTGTACGTGATTTCTTTATAAAAATTATACAGTTTCTTATAATATAGTTTCTATATAGCATTATTATAAGAGTCCATCTCTACAGTTGAAACAACTCCCCGCGGCCTATTGTCGTGTCACATTAACGAGAATCGCATCATAACTCCCGATAATCTACTTTTATTGGCTCCGTTCACTGCTTTATTACTCAAATATTCCATATCCTAGTATCATATAGGGGTTGTTTAGGACGAAACAAATACATTTTGGTATTTCATTTAAATCAGCACTCGAATATCATTTTTTAGTTTTTTTGTTTAACGTATATATTTTAATAATTTTATTCTACTTTTGATGACGAAATGTTTTTATAAACAAAAAATCATAGAAACATAAGAAATTAAAAAAGTAAATCTGTTTTAAATAATTCTAACATAAAGATCCATTTTGATAGCAATTATAATTATTATTACTGGGAACAAAGGGCAAGATCGCTGTACAATCACGATCAAACATTATACTAAAGACAATTCATTATTAGAGAGCAGTTATGGAGGCTATAATCGCCAGTTATCGCCCTTTTATAGCAGATTTTACGACGCAAACTATTCAGCCAAGAAATGTACTTGTACTTATCTGTACATCTATTGTTAGATGTAATTAGAAGGACTATCACGTAAGATCGTACTTGCTTATTATTATTTAGCATAAAAAAATTAAATAAAAACAAAATAACATATGATATTAAATAACATTTTGTTCAATTCAACTAACTTCAATAATGACTTCCTTTATTCTACTATCTATTAAAATATTAAAGTCTATATAACAAATTATGTCGATAAATTATATGTTTCGTTGTCTCTCGATAAAAATTTAACACTAGTTTTAAAACACAACTTTATTCTGTTCAGTGAATAAGTAATGTATATTAAAATATATACATGTTTTACACCATTAAATTTAACACACCTACATATTTTTAAAAATATAAAAAGGTATAACGTTCAAAGCTATTAAGTTGTAATAGCTGTTTACAGCCGGCACTCGCTGTGCGTTTCCAATATATTATGAGCTTGTCGGCAATAAAAAGGGTAAGGAAAAAATGAATAAAGCGGGAAACGTTAAAATAAAGGAGGCCGCGAATATATACGACTTCCTTCAGGAAATAATAATGCTGTTTGCAATTCATTTGGCTCTACCTGGTTACCCTCGGCTTTGAAAAACAACGGATCGCCAGGCATTTCTTTTACAACCCTTCTTAGTTTTTTTTTGGGTGGAGGGTCGCGATTTTTACTTTAGACTTTCTTTAAACTCTTTGATTCCTGAAATCAAAGCTTGATAGCGGATGTCAGCAATATGGTCGTAACTGAATTTAATGCATTTGTTTGTTTCAACAAATCAACCCAACGACGTGGAACTTTAATAATATTAAAATATATATAACATAATAAATAATTTTAATTAGAAATATACTTAACTTATCAAAAATTTAAGAAAACAGTTATATTACACCAATACTGTATATTAGCTACTCTATTTTTATGGAACGATCAAAACAAAATATAACATATGTTTTACAACATTAGTAGCTAACAATAATTCAAATATATGGAGACGCCAATCCAATATTTAGCGACAACATTCCTCCTTGGCGTCTTAAGCCGACAAATTGCGTGTCGCGAAAGAAAAATCAAAGTAACAAAAAGGCTTGCTTACATTTAAAAGCGTAATTGTAACTAACCGCTCCCCCTTATTAATTTACCTCGTTTATTCCCGTCACTCCCCAAAGTCACGTTCGTGAAAAAAAAATACAGGATAAATATTCTGGACATTATTTTTCGGATTCTAATTCAAAGACAAATCTAGATCTATTCGTATGAACAAGAACTTCATAATATCAGTAGAATTATATTTCTACGTATAAACTACTAACACACTACTTTTGAATATCTCTTGAACAGTTTATGACAGTTTATATTTAAAAGACTGAAATATTTCAAATACTTTCATTGACAAAGTGATAAATGGTATGATATGAAGAAAGATATTAATTACAGAAATCAAACTACTAAGAAAAACTCCTTTTTCAGTTTAAAATTTAGTTTATCACCATTAATTATTATATATTATTTTAAAATACTCAGAGTTATTTTAAATGTTATTACTATATGTAATAAACACGATGTCTTTAAAAATATTATGATATTTTCCTAATATTTGATAAAACAGAATTTTTAAAAAGAACTCTAGATAAGTTGCTCTTTTTTAGCCTGAATATAAGACTGACGGGAAACGCAAGCTCGTCCCGTCTCAAACCGCTTTTTTAAATCCCAGTAACAAGCCAATAAATCCCGGCGCATTTTTCTCCAGCCGGGATCCGCCGCCCCGAAAAAAGGCTTAGCGCGATTACATCCAAATTTACTTAACACTTAACACATTAAGCGCGTTAATAAAGATCTTTATTTGATTTCCTTATCATGCGTCCATTTTAATTTGATAACACCCAAATTGGGTCTTGTGTAAATTTTGTTATGTAAATTCAAGCCCGAATATGATTAATTTTACGTTAGGACAAAGGATACCGCGGACACATTACTAGATTGGGCAGATGCCGCCAACATTCGTTATTAAATATGTGTAATTTATATTAATAATTAAGATGAATTTGTTCATCACTCAAACAAACATCGTGCAGGTAAACATGAAGAGGTTTGGAGTTGCTGGAAGCTGTGCGAGTACTCTTTTAATTAATTAAGTGCCTATATGAGTGGGCTGAGCAGTCTCAAATATATTTGCTGATTACCATCGCTGAAACTCATCTGGGTCTATTTGACTTTTGTGTATTAACAGAACCAAAAATTGTAACCATTGATCACTATGGTTACCTGTGTAATTCTCTCCTAACACCTGTTATTGGTCACTCCGTATCGGTTCGAATCGTTTTGGATAATTAACAAGACCCTCACATTCATTCAGTAGTGAATCTCTTCATTCGATCTGTTGAATCTAATCAAATATAGCCGAGCTATTAAGAAAATCAGTGTTTACAACATGACACCTCTTTAAAAACAAATTCTTTGAAACATTTTTCTTTTACTCGCATATGGGAAAACTAAATTTCAATACACTTAAAAGTCACATATGCTTCGAGACGTCATCTTGACCCGGAAACCTAAAGTAATAAATTCAAAATATAAATTACTCAAATTCATCATGGGATGGGTGGATTAATAATTACTATTCACAACTGGCGCACAGAAGGCGCCATGATTAGCAATACGTCACCAGTAAATATGGCAACACTTATTCCACGATTTATATGGGGGAGAGTGGGGTAATGGGGATATTTGACAATAAATCTAGCCACAGTGACTGAGTACAAAGTACTGGGCCCACAGTGTAAGCTCCTCGGTCAGAGACATCCATTGTAAGGCACCCACGGAATCCGATAATGCCTCGAGATTGTCCCGTCTTTCCTCTAACACCTCCGATACTCCGAAGTTGTGTATTGATAATTTAATGTCAGATCTTCCCTAATTTATTCAGTGGAATCAAGTGAAGTACTCAAGTTACTCAACTATTATTTTGGGGTTTCTAAGTCTTTTTAATAATTTTAAGGAGAACATTATCATATACATTTCTGTTACATATGTATTGAGGTAATTGATACTCCCGGGGTGAAAGTAAATTCAATTAAATTTTTGACAAATTCATGGGAACATTTCTGTTTTCAAACTAAAAAACAAAGCTGTGAAAATGACTATGTGTATAAACAATTTATAAGTAAAATTTAGGTATCATCTCTCTTAACTATAATACCAATTATGTTCCAACAGCTTAATAAATATTTAAATTAATGGTTTTATATTTTTACTGTCTTTTCATATTTTTACGTTAATGAAACCTTTTGCATTTAAATTCAATCTTTTTGATTAATTTTTATATGTATTGTTAGGTACTGCTTTTAGTTATTTATTTTTCATATACGCCAAAGAAATGTAACTTCTAACTCATGTACATAAGAACACACACTTTTTTTCGTCATGATTAATAACGTCTTACATTTTATTAAAAATCTGAACATCAACCGTAGTTACATCACACGATGGTTCATATCTGCTATAACCAATAAGGGATTTTAATATGTGAGTGGTGTGCGAGCGTGCCGCGTGTGCGAACCGGGCTTGGCTAAACTTAATCTATAAATCAAGAACTGAAACTATTTCGTAATTAGATCGTATTTAGGATGGGGTACAACACCTTCGGCTCCTTGAGAAAGCGCCTCCCAAAGGGTCCGAAGGTAAAGGCTCTATTGCCTTTCAAGTACCTCTTTAACGGCTAATATCCTTGGTAAATGGATCTCAAATATTTTACTCCATAACCGTTAGGGCTAAGAGATGTAGCCATGTTTATTGCTTTTCGGTACACTATCAAGAGGCTCTCATATTTATTTCATCATAAACAAATTTGTTATTACATATTTTGAGTACGTTCTTATTAAATACAGAACAAATAATCTGCTTACAAGTTAATAACGTGAAACAATTTTATAAATTCGTCCGATATATAAGCGTACTTTGCTAATGTCTATGAAAAAATTAAAATCAAAACAATCGAGACGTAAAGCCTCTTAGCAGAGCGCCATTCTTTTATTCTGTAACGCTTTTGATGTTTGTGTACTTAGTGTTTCATAAGTTGATCCTATTACAATGTCCAGGTAACGCGTCACAATGGAGTCGCCGGGACGCTAACAAGATTATAACTTTATTTTGCAAATTAATAAAAAAGAACCAGGCTGTGTTTAATTCACCCCAGCTCACCTTTCCTTGCGAATCACGTAATGACACTAATGACGGACACATCGCTGTCATATAATTTTAAATATATATTGATTGCCTCCGATTAATATTAACAATCAAACAATAAATTCAGTTTTAAATGACATTCACTAAATATATAATGTTGATAACTTTTACGTACACCAAAAATTTGCTTACCATCTTTTTCTTTATCTTTTTTATACTTTTAGAATTCTGTGAAAAGTTTGTATACCTAAGGGTGTTATTGGGATATATAAAACAGATTAACTTTTAGTAAATACAGATCTGTTTACACAGTCACGTTCTGGCAACACCGGACTCACATGTCATATAATCCCGTGTTAATGAAACGATAAATTCGTATTCCGTATGAAGTACACTTGTCCAATATTTTCCCCTAAGAGTGACGCGCGTTGTCTCTCATTAACTTAATATGTTATGGTTTGTACTTCGCCAATATCAAGGAGGAAATGAAATATTTTTATAACTACAGGATGTGTCTTAGGTATAAAGAAAAAAAATATATTTCTAATAATTTTTTTGTTATACCCATGCATTTTATTTTATAGAATTGATGATTTTATTTTAATAGAATCGAATATAACTTTAAACTTAACAGTAATAAGGTATAATTTTAGTTACGTAAATATCATAAAAATATTTAAGAAAAATAGAGAGAAGTAAACCAAATAATCAAATATATTTAGTCATTGTAACATTCTCCCCTGTATAATCGAGTTGTCATATGTTCGTCTCACATAAGGACACTTGTCATAATTTTATGTTCATATCCACTAAGCCGCAACGCTCAACGACACTAATTTACGAATGACACAAATGAATCATTACGGCAGAGCATTCCTAACTATAAACCAATTTATTAATACTCGAAAATATATATCACAATTGGGTATAACAATTGTTTGTTTTATTTTATTTTACTATTAAATAATATATTTTTATTTTTTCAATCATGTTCCATTCTATTTAATTCAGTCAGCTTGTCCGCGGTTGTATCCGTACATTAGGCTCTAGAAGTTCTGCGAATGGACTTTAATGATCCGGGTTGGACTTATGGGCGTACCACAAATGCGAGTTGATTCCTGACACCCCGGGGAAATATATGAAAAGAAGTTATGGGACTTTTACATTAACCATTCCTTGAATCTTCAACTCGATTATGTTTTATATTTACTGATCAACAAACAGATTTCCAGTTTATATTTATTGGGTGATGCAAGGCTTATTAGTGAACTATCTATTACTGGAACCCTTTATAACGTGACACAGCTTATATCTTCACTAATAATCTTCAATGGCCACCGGTCACTAAGTTACTTAGATGTTTTGCATTAATCAGGTTCACCTGCTGACTGGTTCGTCCTATTAGCGTAACCCTTGCTCACCTACGTTTATATGATTGTGCCAAATCGGCAAGATAATGCCGCGTATTTACTCTGATTCTCGTCGTTAAAAGTTTGGGGGCTGACGAGGGCCGTCGTTAGGCCCCTAATGGCCACCATTTGTCTTGTCCGGCCTCTAGTTGTACCCCGCTAATGAAATTATTGCCGCAACTATAGTAAAGGTTATAAATACCCCTGAAAGACCCGAGCGGACGCCACCTTGTTTCGCACTAATGGACCGGTCAAACTGTAAACTGTGTTATCAATGAAATTACAATTAGTGGAGGGGATAAAAATTACGGAGGGTCGGAAGTTGCATTTACCGATGTTTATCGTCTAGGATATGGAAGTTATGCATGCTTCCATTAATTGCGTATAGCGTGGCCAACAATAGTTTTAATTTCATATTATTCCGAACAAAAGATGTGTATAGCTTTATAAATCTTTTGTTTTCTATAGGAGGAAATATCTTTTAAACGCTGCGAACAATAACCATCGGTGATAAGGTGAATGTATGTCCCGTCACGTTGCAGTCTAAATGACACTTGCCGATGAGTTCGTAAGTATAAACTTGTACGATATGAACACAATAAAGTGCGACTTTCCGAGTATTTCGGGAAATGTGTTGGGCAAGAATGCCATCTGCCTTGGACAATCAAAACTTGGAATGGAATTTTCTGCTTAGCGTCCGTCGTATTGCTTTGGACAGCTTCACGACCCATGTGACGTCTTGAATGTGATATTTAATATCATATTAGAATATTTATATAAAATTAATTCGATTATATACAAATATTATTTTATTCGTACAACAATAATCGTAAAAATATGGGATAAAAGAATTAAAAAAATATATACCAAATTATGTAGACTCCTAGGCATACTCGTATTTATAATATTACTACTTCACGAGTTATTGATACAAATAACAAAAATGAGATTTTATTATAGAAATTATATATTATTATCCACAAAATGGTCTCTAATTTGATATTTCGATTCAAGTTAAAAACAAAGACTTTCAATTAAACGGTTTCTAATAAACATAAAAGCAAGCTATATATCGTTATTTGTCTAGAACCACTGTAAAGTGAAGGCCACATCAAAACGAGCCATCGGGTGCGCCACAAAAGGGATCAAAACGGGAAATCGACGCTTTTATTGTACCTTTATACAGTGAAAAAACGCTCATCTCCAAATACCCTAATCTTTCTACATCAAACGATACAAAACCTTGATATTACACGCGTCATTTGAACAGTCTCAAAGACATTCCTCGCCGGGGAAAAAATTAAAATAACAAAGCGAACAATGGATGTGCGGTGCTCGTCTGATTGCGAACATCGCGACTAAGAAGCCAATAATATTAAAAATTCTTTACCGAATTCTATATTACATGCAATTTTTTAATTTAAAAAATTATATTCAAATAGTTATCACAAATATGAAATAGGAATGGTAAAAATTTAAGAGACTTTTAAGTTAAACATTATTCATATAAAGAGTTTTAGTTCTTTTTATAAATTCAATATTTATCATACATATTTAAATATTATAAAAAAAAATTAAATCAATGAATCATTTTAACTAAAGGTAGAAACGTTAAGGATCCATGAAATCTACAGTCTGCGGCGACACATGATGGATCAGGCCTCGGGCTTTTGTGTTCAATTTCCGAACGGTTACCTCCCAATACTGGGCTCCAACACTCACAGATTTTAAACGCATTCCGCCATTTTGTGGGCCATTAGTCGAGGTGAAAGAGGCTGTGATTATGATTGATCGCGCACACAATACACTAACTCGACTTGTTGAATGGCTCCCTCACGTGTGCAACCACGTTGTATTGTTGCGAACTTCCAAAAATAATTCGTTACTTTGTTTGATTGCAAAGTTGTTTTTAAATTGTAGCACTCCGATAATTACTTGGAGTGCGTCAGCTATTACGTAATTGGAAATATATAACATTGTTTTAACGTTGCTTTCATTGTACATTAATATTTTTATTTTAAACCTAAAATCTTACAATTTATAAGTGATTTGTGAAATCAACCTACCTATTAGTTTTCACAAATAAAATATACATCTTTTGATATCGTAAGAAAATATGATATTAACCTAATTTACTATTTTATAAAAAATAAAATATTACGATATTTCTATTGAATACGCAAATGTTTGAATTTTTATAAACAATCCCAATATCTATACAGCAAAGTATGAATGGACTATTAGAATTTGATACAATCGCATTTCTAGATAGTGTTGTTCAAAGGAAACTGTAACAGAAACCTTTATATCTTTGAATATAATAACAGTTCTGCAGAACTATAATAAAATAACGGCGCTATATTGAATCGAACCAGTGCACCCATTGTGAGCTCCGATCGCCGCTGCATTGGAAGCAAATCGAGAATGAACGTAGATTAACAATTCCAAACTTCGCTTTAAGATGTTAATTTCAAAATGCCTGACTGCCTCGATACCCCGCACTTATTGAAGTTGGAATGTAAGAACAGTTGCATACGATCTCTTTGTTATCAGACTCTAAAATAATATTCTACTTACGTTCCTCGTTGTCTAATCTAAAATAGAAATATACATTGATTTTGTTGTTATTTAATAGTAAATAAAAATATAGGTAATTAATAAATTATATATGTACGTATGTAATTAAAACCTTAATGTTTATTACAATGCATACGTGTGATTTTTCTTCATAATATAATTACCTGGATTTATATTTTAATTTAGTTAAAAAAAACATTACTATTATTATACTAGAAGACCTGGCGAACTTCGTATCGCCCTATAATCAAGAAATATCTATTACGTTTTTTTATTTATATTTTTTGGAGTTTACGTATTAAAGCCATAATTCTCCGTGTTTTGAAATGCGACAGAATGATTGACATATTAGTTAGTTGTCAAATCTAATGCCAAAAAAAAAGGTTTGTATGGGAAATAGAAAAGGGCTGTTTTTATGGTTTTCCCTAGTAATGAACCAGTTTTTTTCAGCTTTTATACCTTCCCTGAACCTCCACGAACATTTCAAGACTAAGATAAGATAAATCCGTTCAGCTGTTCTCGAGTTTTAGCGAGACTAAGGAACAGCAATCCATTTTTATATATATAGAAGATTAAGAAAGTAAAATAAAAAATAATAAAGTCTTAATTAGTTATTAATATACTCAATTAAAAGAAATAAAGGAAACACAACTAAACAAAAATACACACAATTTTGTTGTTTCAAAAGAGAATAGAATTAAAAAACTAAAATCGAAGGAAGCAATTATTTTTTATCTGCACGCACGAGCGGGTACGGGGACTTCGCCGACACATGGCACCCGCGGGACGGAGATGTTAGTGCACAAAAAGTAAGATTCCGAGGGGAAATCTCGGCTTTCTTGTGCACCAACTAACATTCTTTATTTAATCTAGAATAGTTTTAAAGTCAGATTCTAAGCAACTCAATTTTAAAAAGAAACCTGTACACACAAACAACACTTACGCTGATATCTCAAATTTTTTGGTGTATGATAAAATAAAATTTTCATCGTCCCTAATATTTCACAATTCATCATATGTTTGTTCATTGCTATTCACGAGATGCGAAGACCTTTCCAAATGTCTTTTTTATAATCTGTTTACTTCTCCCGCTTACGGAATAATCTCTTTACATCATGCATTTTTTTTAATGCTTTCTTATAAGCTTTTTTTATTTGATAATAATATTATCCAGCTACATTCACGGATCGAATTTTTATATGTTACTAAACAATAGAGTATGTAGAACATAAATTATAATTACTTCAAAGCTTATTAATAAATTAACACCTTCCTACAACAACTGTAATTATATAAAGTTTATCAATTTGCCGTTCATATAAGTTAACTTGATTTAAGAAGTACTAATGCGTCTGCAAAAATGAGTTTAAGGTAAGGTTGCTATATAAGATGCGTTCCGTTCAGTAAATAAATGCTGGAAACCCTAAGTCCTTTTCCTCCAAGTCTGTTCCGACTACAATGTTTTTACGTGAAAAATTAATTCTGTATCTACATCAGATCTCTCCATGAGATTGTAGGTAAAACTGTATGATCGTAGGTTTATTTTCATAATAAAAAACATCTCCCCAACGCTTACTCATTTCTAAATCGTAATTATTTGTAAAATAATAAACTTGAACGTGAATATTTAGATGATATATAAAACATTATTGAATCTAATTCATACTGAGCGAGGCATTTAACAAAGTTTAACTGTACATAAAATTTTATTGACCCATATATGAAATAGTGAGACAATCTCCAAGGAATCCGCGGAGCTTTTCGAGTCATTAGCCGCGTTTTTATTACTCAATGACAATAAACATGTCGTAAGATATCGTCTGAAAACATTCATGGAATTAGTTCCCCCGTACATTATTTCAGTTATTGTATTCGGTATAATCGATTCGAATCGGTAATATGATTGGTAATACCTTCAATATAGAAAATATTTTCTTCCACATTTTCTATTTATTTAGAAACAAAATGGAACCACCCCGCTGGATCAGGTAATATTTATTGCTTACAATTTTGCTTACAGCGGAAAATATTACAGTACATTTTTCCGTGGCGTCTCATGAAACTCCTAATTTCTAATGGCCCATTTGCCACTTTGTCAATTGCGCCAATAAATAAGCGCTGCGACTGACTAACGGTCCCGTCTCGAGCTAAATATCGTGTCATTCTTTTATTTGTTGCCACTCCAAGTCGACTGTTGGACGATAATTCACCCTTTGCGATATTTGTTTTCTTTTACAGAGCAAACAGGATCATCAACTAATTAAATAACAATTTGTCAATACCAATAAATAATAGTTTCATTTTATTGTAATGTAATAAAAATTACCAAGTAACTTGTTTTATACAATTTTTTACATATATTCTGTTCGCAGGAGTCAGTTTAAACTATGAATAAATAAAGGAGTTCAAGTAACTTCGACAGTCGCTAGCTTGCCTCGATACTTCGGTTCACACATTCGATCTATTAATAAATAGTATATATACCATTAAATCTATACACAACTTTTAGTAACTCTGTACCTGTCAAAAAATTAAAAAATATATTTTTTCAGAAAACAAATATCAAATATGTTCAATATCAATTTAAATATATCGAATCCAAAATATCAATTGCAATAATTTTATAGAATGGTCCATTCGAATACTATCTGCAAATGGCGTTGACTCTAACTGGCTGAAAGCAAAGTTTGAATATCGTATTCTATTTTTGAATTCAATAGTTATATCAAACTTTTTAAACGCTATTACTACTAAGGACTAGTAGTTTTTTGCCATTAGTAAAAAATATTGTGCTTTAATATTTATATTATATTGTGTCTATATTTTAATTAATTAAAGAATAATTAATTAATGAGCTGTATGTATTGATTTTCAATGTTTCTTACCAATTACTTTATAAATAATTCCAGCGATATTTTTTTGCTGTTATCCTTTGACGTAGATGAAATACCAAAAAGCATGAGTAGTCAAAGTCGATGAAGTGAGTATGGATCAGTAAGCAATTTGTTTTGGCAAATTTAGTAAGTGGTCTAAATGGTTGTAAATATTCAAATAAACTAGTCTACCAAAAAATCTATTCATTCGAAATATATCACGTATTTCTAAATAAATTTTCAAAAATAGTGCAAGCATACTAGTAAGCTAGCAAAAAGTTATTTCGAGCTAACGGCGCTTTTGTAATTAAGGAAAATAAAATCACGTCCGTGGCAATGTGTTACGTCAGTTCAAAACTAAAGTTCAGTTTCCAAAGTTTTCCTCTAAAATCCCGTACATAAAAGCCAGTGTAAACTCATAGATGGTCGCACATCACTGTTTATTTAAAGCCGGTTCAACGAGTAATTTCCTTCTAATTTTGCATTTGTAGCGTATTCTCGATGTAGACATGGCATACTGACTACGGTTGTCGGACATGTTGATTTCCTGCTTGTCCTTAATCCTTAAATTATAAATGGCAACGCAAAAGTTTCTCCAACATTTACCTGAATTTAGCTCGATCAATTTGGACATTCGGTTAATGCTGTTACAATGGAACGATAGCGAACTCCGAGCAAAGTAAACGTGTGATGAATATATTTATAACATCCAAACCTCATTGTGTATCTGTTTGCAATTTTAAACAAACATTTGGGGTTATAAAATTTAATTTAGTCCAGTCATCAGTCACAAGGCGGGCTGAGGTCACGTCACTGCTTCCGTAAGATAACGTGGGGTCAGACGGTGCACTAACTATCCGCATTCTGATGAACGTACCCCTAACAGACCCCAAATATGCCACTTGGCAGTAACGAAGTGTTTTAGAACACCAAATTTAATAAAATCTCCTCATAATTACAATAACAATCAACTTCAATATTAAGATAACAAATCTAAACCATATTTTTGAAGGAATCAATTTATCTTTAAGTCACTAACTTGAGCATATTATTCATAAGTTTGTTAACTTCCCCAACGGACGGTCCAAATGCAAACAAGCCGCGAATCGCGATATTAATCATTCAGTACACTTCCTTGATATCGAGCGGCGTCGTGGTAAGCCAGCGGTTTTCCTAATTGTGATTATCGCTAACTAGGTGTTGACCGTCGTTGCGGCTGACCGATGGTCATTCGTAATGCACCTCCGAAGGGGTAGTTACAACTTTAATTAAATCCCCTTAAATTTGTAACAGTACTAAAATATTGTATATTGAATAAATATAATTCAGTAAACGCTTTTTGCAGGTCTTTTTAACTTAAAAATGTTCGTACAAAGCATGCCAGCTCGTTACACGACACAGTATTCACCATACATTCACTCCTCATTAAAATTTGTACGACAGCTTCTAAATTCTACTCTTTTCTCCGCACCTCCATTTCAATATACAGGAAAAAGTGGAAGAGCGCTGTGTACGGAGTACCGAGCCGGGTTGGCAAAAGTTTTGCCTTCCCATCCCACGGAGGGGGGCAAAAAGTGTTGCCGACGGGTGAGCGCTTGTATTTATACCTATGTCGGGGAAAAGTTTTCCGTGTTGCGGGGAGTGGTGTGAGAGGCGAGGGTGGACGCATGCGCTCTCATTCAGCCGCAGAGCTGACGTGACAGTCCTCTCAGGACTTTAGAACCAACGCCAGGATGCTACTGTTCCTTCTCTAAAATAAGCAATTTACGTATTCTATGCTTCCTGATTTTTATAACATTATATGTTTTAGTTCTAATACAAAGCTTAAAATTGTAATAAAATTAAAGATTTTGAAAGGTTTGAGTGAATAAAGATAATTGAAAAAGAAACCAAACAAAATATTTTAAAGATTGGCTAGGGTTGAGAATGTAAAAAGGTCATTTGATTGGACTAGAATGAAAATAATAACTGTAGCATGTAAAGTTATTAGGTTTAGTTTATATTTATCTTTGCATATAAGACATTAAGAAACCATAGTAGATTTATACTTATAATATAAAAACTTTCCTTGAGAAAAATATTCCTCATATTTAAATGTACAGAACACTCAATTTAGTTATTTACTTAGTTCTTCACAACACACAATGTATTTGTTATTGGTGTTATATAAACTTGTAACAATAGTTTTGGATCTTCTAACACTATTAATTGTGTACTGAACTTGAATGATTGTACACATTATGTCGACAAGTATGACGTGTACGTTATGTATGACGTCACATATCAACACTTCGGTACCGTGTATGAACTTGAAAGCGACTCGCGCGCCACTTTCCAACGGTTTTGTTACGACTTGTTGTTACTCCGTTTGTTACTAAACTAAATTTGAGTTGCTAAACTAAAGTTGTAGATATTTAAAGGGAACTTTTTCTCGGAGTCAACGGCCGCTTCGACCGTCCGCGTCACCCAGTTTCAGAGTACCTACGGAGTTATGGCAGTTGTTCGTAAACTACTTGGACCAGCGGGCAGAGGGCTGCAGTTAGAAGGTCATGGCGCTAATTTGACCTTGCCTACAACTTCTGCACGCTTGTTCAACTAGTTCGATGTTCATACTTTATTGTCTGTAAATGTTCACACATTAGAGAGGTGAAAGTATATTCTTAAAACAATAGTATAAACACTAATTATGTAGTTATATTTCTTTGTTTATTATTTATAAGTCAAGAAATGTGACTCTCGCTAGTTAGTCGTCTATGCGTTTATGACATAAAAGGAATCAAAATTACAAGAGTCAAGTCGATTCTAAATGAATTATCCACCAATTCCTGCATAACGAAACATCAAAATTACCTTAAAACGAAAATACTCGATTACGTTGGACGGATCGGGACGACTTAATTAACAGAATCTCCATCCCGTCAAAGGATTCAACAAATTGGCCACGACAAAATAATGCGGAAGATAATAGCCGTTTAGACAGCTCCGAATAACCGCCGTGGGCACAGCACCTGACTAACAAAATTAATTACAGCCCAATAAGGAAATATTAACCGGCCGCTTAATAAGCCATTCTCGAGGATACGCCACAATTAAATTGGGAGGGTCGCGAGTCATTATTTATAAACAATAATATATCAAACTGATATTTTCAAGATGGCGCCCACCGCAGACCGAGCGATACGTCACGGTACTGCGCCTTGGAATGGATTCCACTGAACTTATACGATACGATATCAAATATTTAAAGTTAAGAAAGTAATTTCTCGAATACACCAATAAAAAGGTAATTGTTGATTATCGACCACAATGTATAGTAGTAAAACAAAAAGTACTCATTATCCAAAAAAAATACAACGTAAATATAAAAAACTTTAAGACACTAAAATCATTACACAAAAAATAGTCTGTTAAACAGCTTTTTTAATATAAAAAAAAAACTAGAAAGTGCAATTTTTAATAGAAACGAATTTCATGAGTCAAAAAAACTAATTACGAAAGCAAAGGAAATATTACTATTACGAGAAAATTCATCTGGATAGCTAGATGTACTCGTGTAGAGGCAAAACACGGCCCGGGCGGGTATTTATGGGTATATGACGGAAAAGTTTTGGAGCGTAGGAGCTAAAGCCATCGATTTTCAAAACTTTTTCATGGAAATAAACCTACTTTCATTGTGTACGTGAGCTAAGGCTGTGTGAGTGCACACTGGCACGTTGAGGTCACACGAATTCAATTGATTTTAAGATCGTAATGATTTTCTGTTATAATCTCTATAATAACTAAAACAAAAAAAAATACATAATTAAACATTTTTCTTTATTGGTAAAATGATTTAGTCTGAAAACTTGACGATTTTTTATATCAGGTATTCAGTTTTATTACTTTGCAGGATAAATATAATTCATAGGGTCTATAACTTAAATATTTAAACTGATATATAAGTTTTGTCTCTTGACACATCATCTACGCCGTCTATCGACCGGCTGTATAAAACACACACATACCAAGCGTCGTCCTTATAATAGGTCCGCAAAGGAAACTTTTTAAAACTTTTCCAGCGAGGCAATATGGTTCGTGTTCTCAGCCGTTATGTTTTATTTAGGCAACATTTTCCATCTCTTTCTAAACCAGAACACTCGTACGTTTTAGAAAAAGACGACTGTATTTTTCGTAGAAAAACTTCTACCAGAGCGTCACGACTGCCTTGCCCGGGACACGAAATAATTATTTCTATTCTGTCATTGCTTTTGCGCTTTTCAAACGCATAAAATTCCGAGCACATATCGTTAAGTATCATTTAAAACTATACTGGCGAGTGTTTCTTTTGATTTAGCTGTTTTTTGTGCCTTAGTATATGGGAGCAAGAGTGCAGTCTCATGGTGATCGTTTATCAAGATCGCCGTCTGATTGGGGCGCGGCTCAGCTGCGTTTTATTGTCGAATTACGTGCCCATTCAAATTTTAATTTATATTTCCTACATTATATTGGAAAATTGATTTTTTTTTGTTATAAATTATAATGCAATTCAAATTTATGGAATCAATAACTTCTTTTGCTCAGTTCTATACATACTTTAATAAATAATAACTTAGTATTATTTAATATCAGATTTATTTAAAAAATTCCTGGCTGTTGTAATGTGTTTGAAGAAATTACTTCGAATTGAATTTTTTAATATTGATTTTTGCTTTATTTCGTTACATTTTTTCAAGTTATATATTAATATATTATCCCCTACTCTGGAGTTGCATTCTTACTCAATCTTATTATTAATTTAGAAGTTGCAATAAACATGACAATTGAAAGTAGGACGAATTAAAAACAAAAGAAATTTGTTTTAATGGATATAAAGAAGAATAATAATTATTATTTATTCTTTACAACTATTTTTCCGATAAGTACATATCGATCTAAAATCGTACAATATTCATAAATCCATTTCTACTTCGTCGTTATCCCTACAGCACTCGTCTAATCTTTATTCTCGTTTTAAAAGCGAGGTATTATCAAATAAAAGTCGATGTAAAATCGCTACCGGTCCAACTTTCCTCCGTCCTGGCGAAGCTCGTAAATCACCGACCATTGTTTTATGTGTTCTCATTACATAGATTGTTTTAGGGCGGTAATATTAATCCTGTTATGATTTACAAAAGATATCTTATATTGATGATCTATAAGTAATGTTCTATGTTTAAATAGAAATGTATAATCTATTATATACTTACAATTTCAGAACGGTCACTTATTTAAATGCTACAGTAGAGTTTTTCAGTTGAATTCTTAAAATTAGACGGAATTTTTTTCCAATAGACAGTTGTCCAAAATAATATAGTAATTTTTATAACTGATAAAAAAATACATTTTCTAAGAATTATGTTTGTATATGGTAAATATAAAGAATATAATTTATATAATTTATGTCTTATTTTATGTATATATGTACATTACATCGTACCTCGTTCTGTAATCATAAAAAATATGCCTTTTACATTAAAGTGTTATTTAGATTACATTATAGTGTTATTATTGGATAATGCTGGTAACTTGCATATATAAATAGGAGTGTGTGGTGGTACTTTCTCTTAAGTTTTTTTTTCTGATAAAAACCGACTAATACTGTTTTACGGCAGAGTAATAAAAAATAAATATGCTATTAATTGAAATGAAACTGTTTTCAAATAATATGTGTTATATTATAACATGATGAAAGTTTCATCTCATATCTTTGTGATCTCGTTTGCTGAAAAGGAACCGAAACTTTGGGATCGATTGATATAAAATAAGAAAGCGCGGTATCCGAAAAACTTAATTTTATTTAAATGTGTACACGTGAAAATATTTGATATCACAAACACATTATACATTTATTTAACAATTGTTAATTTTTCGAATATATTCTTGTATTTAAATTAAATGCTTTAAAGAGGAATCAATTTACATGGTATTAACATTTTAGTTGTGAAATTATAATACACATATCTATTAAATTACTTGATTTCACAGAATAATCAGATTTTAAATTTGGAAACACTGTTTATGATTAACATTAATAGTTATTTAAGATATTAAATCCTTTGCAGACTTCGAGACATACACAAAGAGATCACTTAGTGTACTTCACGTATTGAATCACAGTGTATCATATATGAAATAGAACTTTTGTTACTCTGTTATTATCCTTTAATTTTATTTATAATAATATATGGTAGTGCCACTAAAATTTACTGATATTATTCTAGAATATCAAAATTTGAGACTAGGTACCAGAATTTAAGAAGATTAATCTGAATATAAATATTATTACTTTTTATATTTTTTTTTCTTCTACATAAGTTTGTATCTATTAAAAAGTAACTGAATATTATACTCTCTGAAGAATTAATAATCAATTGTCACTAGTCTCAATACTGCATTATCGTGAAACATTGCATTCAGAATTTATTTCGTCCCCGGCAAGACGTTGTCACGAAACACAAGAATCACTGCAGTCGCATAAATAAGAATAGTAATTAACATTCGTCGCAATTCGTGTTTTGAGGCAATTGTTGTATAATTAATGACTTTAATGGATTTACTATCCAAGATCTCCATTCTTTCCAACGAGATTACATCGGTGCTACAAATTTAAAAATAATAATTGATTCCTTTCTTGCCTATTTATTACGATCAAAGACATAATTACCACATAATCCACATAATTTAGAATAGCTGTCTGCATATCTGTTTGTAATGGAGCCATAATTCTACTAACATGACAAATACGCACAAATTACAATAAAATTACAGTAGGCAGTATAGCGACATTTAGCATCACGTGCGTTGTGTAACTGCCGTTCATTAAGGCAGTGTTGACAGCATGCGTGCGCGCCGTCCGCGCCTGGCACCGGCCTATATCGCGCCACCATCGATGACTAATAAACCGAGACTGAATCCAACAAACTCACTCATGCGTCACTCACACCCTTAACGCAAGATAATACAGTTCATTTTACTTTAAATTGTAACAGAATTTATTTTTGTACATCCTATCGCAAGCAATATCAACAAAATTATAAGTGCGTTTGTTGTGATTTCTAATGTTTAGGTGTTAAGGTTTATGTTGCTTTAACGATTTGATTGTATTAGTATTAGTTTCAGTTGTAATCGCGACCACTTCTGACGAACACTTATATCATGCCTGCCCCAAATTGAGCGGTTGCTGTCAGAATTCACGTTGTCTACTATCGACTACGATTTATATGTGCGTGGGATATAATTTCTTCATTTCCTTTGATATCTAAATAATATAAAATTTTCGTGTTTCATTATAAGTAAATTGTATACCACTCCAATATTTTTATTAAGGTACCTTTTTATATAACTTTCTTGCTACGGAAATAATCAAAGTAATAAAACTTATTCATTACATTTGTTCTATGTTAACATACGTATATGAGAAACATACATATATAACATACTAATATTATTCAAACATGGCATTGTAAATAATTTTAAAATTAACACATTTTAACTTACATATAATAACAGGTCTATGTATTTTAGATTTAAAGATTGCAAAGTTTCATTATAAGAAACGGCCGAGCACCTAGCGATTACTCA